AAAACACTGATTTACAAAATTAGTGGCTATCATCCGACTAACGGTCGGTAAAGATGGTGGCTGCAAAATATCCTGTCGAGCCACAGTCACGTGTCAATTGCGCACTAGCGGTCACGAGCACACCGCGGTTGCTGCTCGTGGGTCCTAGCCATCTAGTTTAGCCCCATTCCACGCTGCGTGAGCGGCGTAGGGGACACATGGGAGGGGGGAGGGGGAGGGTAGTCGCCGACGCAATTGACACATGACTGTGGCTTGAAAGGATATTTTGCAGTCGCCATCTTTACTGACCGTTAGTCAGAGGATAGCCAAATTAGTTACTTTACGCTAGCACGGCGTGACAATAGCCGGTGCCAGCCAGGGTGCAGTGGATCAAACTATTCCTCCCCACGACTTTTAATGACAGAGGTTGATGATTATGAGCTGTTGCATTAAATATTTATGTTCCGAGCAGTTGATACATTAGTCATAGGCATTTAAGTCTGGATGAGTTATCATATACACTATAGAACAAAAGAAAGAAAATTAAAGGATGGGGTAAAGTTAATTAATGCCACAACAGGTTGGAGCAAGGAGGAGTTCAGAAAATGGCAACATGTACAGAGTATCCAGGAAACAGCTGCTTTGTACTAAAAGAGCTAGCTGATTAAAATATTGCAAACAGGATGAGCTTTAACCATGATAATGGTAGTTATAGGTACAGTTTTGATTTACCAATACTGGCTTTTTGTTTCTTCTTTTTTCTTAGTTTGCTTTTGCAGTATTAGTAGTCATAATTTAAATAATGATATCTTTTGCGGCCCATATGGGTTATAATTGTAATATAGAAAGATTTATTTGCCTAATATTCGTATATCTCGTCATCCCCTTGTAGGATTCAACTTTTAGTTATTTTGAATATTGGACACTAATTCTTGTCAGTTTCGGTAGGTTATTTAATCGAACTGTGCACCTTGGAATTAGGAAACATGTTTGTAACACCTCAGCCACAAACTTGACTATTCCTAGTTAACAAAAGTATTATTTAGGGTCTTGTTATGAAAAGAGGGAAACTGGAATATGTTGTGACTAATGGAAGGATTTATGGAACAGAAGATAGAGGAAGACAATGCGAGAAGATTCCTCACGGTTTCTGATTTGATTTGATTTGATTCAAGAACCGACATCACAGCACTCGGGGCATTACTATAAGCGCTCCGTCCCCATCTTCAGCAGCCAGCGAAGAGTTCCGATACTAATGGTGCCAGTAGCTTTCTGATTAAATGTCCGTCTTGCCTTTCCTCTGAGCCTTGAGCTTCTGCCAGAACCTCTCGTCACCCCCAACTGCATCAATCTCACCAGACTGTGGTGATCCATCTGCTCCTCCGCATTGTACACGCTCTCCCACAAGGCACTAACCACGTCTGCCCTATCATGTAGCAGTATTCCACCAAGTTGTGCAGAGCCAGCCAGTCTGTCCAACTGTTCATTTTCCAACACACCGGCGTGACCCTGTGAAAAAATCCAGACAATACTCCTCACTCGTGTCCTCTGCAGCGAAGCATGCCACTCTGCACGAAGCATACCTGTTCCTCAGCATGCTTTCTGAATAGTTACAATTACAATGTGTGTGTGTGTCATGTTCTCTAGCCAGCGGAAAGCTGCAGTGACCGCCTCCACCTCCATTCTTAAGCTGGATGTTGTGGTATCATATGCTAGGCTCTCCTGCACCAAACGTCGACCATTAACTTTTGCTAAAAAGCCCCAAGCACTTCTTTTGCCTCTTGACACTGAACCGTCTGTGTAAATGATCAAATCCTCTGAGCGAGCATTATCTTGAATTAATTGCTGAATTTCCATCTCTGTGGCACCTGCTGGCCAGTCTCTGCATTTCCGGCTCAGCGTGATTATGACTCTACACAAGTCTGACTGCTCAGGTGGCACTTTGACCCACTCCTCTCCTTGCCTAATGTTCTCAAGGATGCAAACCTGTCTGATTGTGTCTTCTGCCTGAGCCATCCATGACCTCCCACTTATCAGCCGCTGACCCTTAACTGCACCCAGAGCTTCATGCAGAGGGTGGTCTGTGTCTGCAGCTACCCTGAGATATGACCGTGCCTGCATCACCTTGTGCCTACCTGTATCACATACACACCACTGGGGTGTCTCTGGTGCAACCCAGAATGACCCGCATAGCCGCGTTCTGTATGCGCTCTAGTTTGTCCATCTGACTCTTTGAGACGGTAAGCAGTCCCAGGCCATAATCCACCACTGACAGGATCAGGTGCTGATATAGTGTGAAAAGCATTCTCTGCTCTATGTTAATTGCAGCCATAGTCTTAAGTGCATTAAGTCCTTTTTGGCAGCTTGTCACAACACTCTCCACATGGTCCTTAAAGACAGGCTTCGGTCAAATGTAATTCCCAGCTACGGTTTCTTTGTAGTGGAATGGAGGTAAACTAGCATGTGAAACAATACTAGGACTGAAACCAGTCATTCAGTTCATTAATGAACAACAAATGAGATAGTTTGGCCACTTGACGAGAATGCCCTGGTACCAAGTGCCTCAGAAAGCTATGCTGAAGAAATATAATGAAACAAAGCAAGTCCATGGCGACAGCACCATGCTTGTGGCCGTAAATCCTCAGGCTCATGATTTCCCCTGTCTACACTGATCTAAAAAGTGGTAAAACAGACAGCAGTGACATTTTTTTTTTTTTTTTTACAATTTATTTCTATACTCACTTTCTCCTAATAATCTTATATGTGAGCTTGATTGTCTAGATATTTTTTGGTAAACATTAAATGTTCTGTGTGCAAATCCCACAGTTGAAAAAATCACAAAGATTAGCCTATAAGGCTATTCTTGTTCTTCTTTCTTCATTTGTCCTATTGCTTATGCCGTAAAGCATCCCAAAGAGGAGTTAGGTGTAGATTCCTGTCTTTTGCTAACTGTGTAGCCTGTAGTAATGTCATATCTGTTCTGTAGTCTATCTTTTACTTTCTCCACCCATATATTTCTTGGTCGACCTCTTGATTTATAGCTTGCTGTTTTCCTGTAGTATGTTCTAGCTGCTGGCCAATTTGATTCCATTCTGACCTGGTGACCAAACGATTTGATTCATTGATGTTTTTTGAAATCCTTTACCAGTATTTGCACATACTACTTTTACGAGTTGTTCACTAGTAACTCTGTCTCTTTCTGTTTTCCCCCCCAAATATTTTGTATACATCTCTTCTCAAATGTAGTAATTTTGTCTTTTTTTTTTTTAAAAAAATTAAATTTCCCTAGTAAAATAAAAAAAAAAAAAAAAAAAACTATTAGTAGTTAGTCCATTATCAGTCTGATAGAGAAATTTTTTTTTACATAAAACAATACTAAAGTTGTGCACAGTAGCCTTTAAGTTACATTAAAAAAAAATAATTCATTGCAGTCTTCAAAAATTAGGTTTATAGTGTACCCACTGGCGTCTTTAGGAATATTACATGATGATGTCCTAATCTTCTCCATGGTGCACCTCTCATACCATTGTCTGAAAACCATGAGAATAGTTTTTTTATTAAATAAAACATTCACAACAGAAATCAAACCATGGTATAGGAGGATTATGAAATTGTTAAATGGATTCACTAACCTCTAAGTGACAAAGCCCCACTTATAGGGAAAACAACAATACGCCCACTGCCTACCCAAAAGCGTATCGTAAGAGTCTACTAGGGAGTTTCCTCCAAAGTCGGTGTACATCTACCTAAGAAGCAAGGAACCAACAGTCTGCATACAGATGAGTCAGGTCTGTAAAATAGGTCCACACGCAACACTCAGGTTCTGAGACAGGACAGCAGTCCAGAATGGGACAAACAACTATGCCAGAGTGAACGCGAAGAAGAAGAAGAAGTACATAAACATAGGCTAATAAAGCTATCTGTATGTTTTGTGTTAGATCATAGTCTGATTTCATTCTAACATGCCTGTTTACAGATGTAAAGTTCCTGTACCAGTCTTACACACCTTTCTAGTTTATGAGGTAGTAGAACAGCGGTTCTCAACATGTAGGTCGTGAGCCCTTTGGGTGTCAAATGACCATTTTTTAAGGGGCCGCCTAAGACCATTGGAAAACATATATTCACTGAAGTTATGAAGTGGCAACTAAAATAATGTTATTGTTGGGGGTCACCACAAGATGCGGGACTGTATTAAAGGGGTCACAGCATTAGGAAGGCTGTGAACTACTGCTATAGAAGGAAAGGAGAGCTCTGCAATGCATTCCCTAAAAAGAGGGTAGTTTGATACTGAAGCAAAATAATAGTTTGTACACCAACACTCAAGGCTGAGATGACATGAACTGAACTGCATCAGATTTAACTCTTTGAGTCCCATGGGGTTTAGCATCAGAGGCTCTAGGGGTAGTAGGTAAAATCGGTGCATCTTGCGTTTATTGGGCTTTTGGGTAGAAATCTATGAACATGGGATGCATTCCTTGGGTCTGAAAGAGGTAAGAGCTAATACAGCATTCCAGATAATTCCCAACCTGCCACCAGCCAACCAATCAACCACCATATAATTAATAATCAACCAGTCATCCATATTCGTGTCAACTCTTCTGCTTTCACATGTATATAAAAAAAAGTCCTTTTTCCACGCCTTAAAGGCATATTGGGAATATAGGGCTAGACCTTTATTTTTATAGACCAGGTGGCACTTGGTGGGTGATGTGGTCAGCATCACACCGGCCTTTACTTCCCAGGACTGTACCTAGTACCCACACAAGGCTGGGTTGACCTGGGAGTTAAGGTCATAATAAAAAAAAAGTCAGACTCACTCAGAACGTGAACCCATGACCTTTCGATCTGCAGGAGGGCATCTAGCCACCAATGCCACTGCGACTTTCACATGTTTACAAAGCAGAAGATAAGTACTTTAATTATGAAAATGAAGATATGACAGTAAAAGTATACAAGCAATGTTTAACAAACTTTATTTAGAAACTTCATATTTATTTGTATGTGCAGATATTTCCTTTCAGATTTGAGAATGCAGACAGCTGAATTTGATCAGGAAAATTGGAGTGATGTGCATATTTGGAAAGGAAATGAACATGCAGATAACAATTGCATTGAAGACATAGATATGTTCTTGATTGATGAGTTGATGGCTTCTGGTCCAAATTTGGTATCCAATGCTGAGAATGTGCCTTCAACATCAGAAATAGACAAGGCTCCCTGTCATGAGCAGTGGAAACCACCTTTCAAACGACAGTTGTCAGATCAGGTTAGTGTAAATTTAAAAATAGGGTATTTTAGAAGATTAATTCACAGGAAAGGGGGGGGGGGGGAAAGGGGGGTGAGAAAGACAAAAATCTCATATTACAGCAATATCTAGGAAGTTTGAGTTCTTTTCAGAGGCAAAGCTTGAATTTTCTATGTTTAAGAAACAAAATTATAATTCCTATTTTTTTTATAAGGTGCTTCCTACTAAAATGATGTTTCTTCCTGTATTGTTTACACATTTGTTTAGAGATAGTGGAAGTCAGTGGAAATCTAAACTACTATCAAACTTAAAATATTTAGCTAAAATACCAAATCACTACTGCTGTATGAAACAGAAACATGAAGAACGGTTAAAACAATTACTGCTAAACTACAAACATGTGTTAACTATAGTGTGGTAGAACAGGGGAATGAAATTGTGGAAAATAATCATTAATATGGAGCTTTAGGAGAGAAAGATACAGTGAATTAAAAGTCAAGGGGAAAATGCGGATGTTGGCTAGGACATGCATTGAGTAAACCTGATGATAACAAAATAACTAACAGGCTCTTGCTTTTAGACGTACCCCCCCCCCTCCCCCATCCCCGCCTCTTCTTCCCCTCCCAACCAAATAAATTACACCAATTTCATGTTAATAATTTAATATTCATTCATTCATTCATTCAGTAGCATGTCCCTCGCGGAACCTCGCTGCCATAACAACTAACAGAAAACCTTCCTATCATGAGCAAGATGTCCTGCGTCTGATACACCCCTGGAGATCATCTGCCACATCCTGCACCCATCTTCTCCTTGGCCTTCCTCTTCCTCTCTTCCCAGGCATAACCCCTCCATTATTGTTCTCTCTAGACCTCCATGACGTTTCAAGTGACCAAATATTTCAATTTTCTTTGTTTTATTGTCTTTACTAGCCAACCCTCTTCAATATTCAGCTCTTGAAGTATGGATGCATTTGTTCTTTTCTTTACCCAGATATTCTTAGAACCTGTCTGTAACATTTATATTCAAATGCATTTATGCGCTGTTCCGCTTGTTTAGTAAGTGTCCAGGTCTCACAGGCGTATGTTGCAATGGGAAAGATGCATGCTCTTAAAAATCTGACCTTTGTAATTCTATCTGTACAATTCCATAATTTATTCAGTTGTTTTAGTCTTTGAAGAGCAATTGATAGTTGCCGTTTAATTTCTTTCATTGTGTCACCATTGTTGGTAACCAGTGACCCAAGATATTCGAAAGTTTCCACCACTTCCAATCTTTCCTCATTAACATATATTTCCTTCTCCATGGCAGTTTTGTTTGTATGCATAATTTAATATTAGAAGTAAAAAAAAAAATGTAGGAGACAGAAAGTGAATTACACATGGTAACAAGGGTTAGGAAGACCTGGCATGAGTTGGTTGGGCATCTATGTTGCACCGAGGAATAAAATGCAGAAGAGAAGAAAGACGGATATCATATTTTTTCTTTGGGTGATACTTTGGGGTAGATTTAATTTTTATTTTTACCAAAATAGTCCCAAAACTGCTAGTGTATTATGATTACTAAAGGTAGTAGTACTGACTACATAGTTCACATTTTTGTAAAAATTTATATTTCTAAAGTTTTGTTTATTATTTAATGTAAAAACAAGACCATAGTGTTTAATATATAGAGTCCGTTAAGCAGAAAATTCAAGTACTGTGGCCATTCAAGAAAGATTAAGAAAGCAGCGAAATGTCTAAACAACTGTTTCTATCAAGTATTATTCAAAAATAAACTTCCCCCAACCTGCTCCAACCTAACAAGCATGTAGTAGAAGATGACTAACAGTTTACTGCTGAAATCGGATCTGTTGGACCAAAATGTACATATACCACAGCTTAGCTGTTAACTACAATACAATATGCCATTCACCCTTTTATGAGAAAATGCCGAGACGCGAAAGAAGAAAGACGATTATGTTATATTTAGCACTTCTTCTTCTTCTTCTTCTTCACTTCCTCTTTTACCGCTGTGTGTGTCGAGGGAGATATAAAGTTCTGTTTCTGGCTCTTCTGGCCGCCTTGACCATAGGCAAATCGTGCTGTTGTAGAGCTTCTCTGATGTTATCCTTCCATGTTGTTCTTGGTATACCTCTTGCTCTACGTCCTTCTTCTCTTTCCATGTATGCTTTGTATGGTATGGTGTCACAAGTCATTCTTTCTAAGTGGGCAAACCATTTCACTTGCTGTCTTTGTATGTAATTTAGAATTGGTTCTGTCCCGACTTTTTCTCTTATGATCTCATTCCTGATCTTATCTCTTATGGTCACTCCTACAGCCCTTCTCAGACATCTCATTTCCATGGTTACTAATTTTCTTTTATGGTTTGTTGTGAGTGACCATGTCTGGCACTGGTAGCACAGAGTTGGAATAAATATGCTTTGAATAAGATGTCTCTTTGTGCTGATTGGGATTGTCTTATGCTGTAAGAGGGGAGCTAAATGTCCCAATACTATATTTAGTACTTTCTGAGATGAATTAGATAGAGAATCACACAAAAACTTCCCCGTGTGTATTCCTGGGCCCTATTATAGGGGGGAAAAGAGAATAGACCCACTTCTTCTTCTTCTTCTTCTTCTTCACTTCCTCTTTTACCGCTGTGGGTGTCGAGGGAGATATAAAGTTCTGTTTCTAGCTCTTCTGGCCACCCCGACCAATGGCACATTGTGCTGTTGTAGAGTTTCTCTGATGTTATCCTTCCATATTGTTCTTGGTCTATCTCATGCTCTACGTCCTCTTCTCTTTCCATGTATGCTTTGTATGGTATGGTGTCATAAGGCATTCTCTCTAAGTGGGCACACCATTTCACTTGCTGTCTTTGTATGTAATCCAGAATTGGTTCTGTGCCGACTTTTTCTCTTATGATCTCATTCCTGATCTTATCTCTTATAGTCACTCCTACAGCCCTTCTCAGACATCTCATTTCCGTGATTACTAATTTTCTTTCTTGGTTTGCTGTGAGTGACCATGTCTGGCACTGGTAGCACAGTTGGAATAAATATGCTTTGAATAAGATGTCTCTTTGTGCTGATTGGGATTGTCTTATGCTGTAAGAGGGAGCTAGCTGTCCCAATACTTGGTTTGCTTTACTGCATCTAATGTTAATTTCTTTATCCAATTTCCCATCTTCGGTAAATGTAGTTCCCAGATATTTAAATTCAGATGCCTGTTTAATGCCTTTGCACTCTATTGCTGTGTTTAGATTTGTCTTCTTTTTTCCTATTGACATTACTTCTGTCTTCTCAGTGTTGATTCTCATATTATTTGTTTTACATTCTTCATTCATGGATGTTAGATGTTGTTGCAATTTCATGGCTGTATCTGCTATCAAGGCCTGGTCATCTGCAAAGAGTAATTCGTTGATCTTACTAATATTTTCATTCATGAGCTTGGCATTCTTGCAAAAACTGTCGATGTAGGTGATAAACAGCAGTGGTGATAAGACACACCCCTGTCTTACTCCAGATGTTACTGTGAATGGATGAGATGTTCCCTGATTTATTCTAACTACACTTCTACAATCCCTGTATAAACTTTTGCACACTTCGATGAGGTGTTCGCTTACTCCATATCTTGCCATTACTTTCCATAGCAATTGTCTGTCGACTCTGTCAAATGCCTTCTCCTGGTCTACGAATGCCACAAATAAGTTCTTATTGTATTCAATGTTCTTTTCTATTAACTGTTTAAGTGTGAAGATTGCATCTGTGCAGCTTCTATTTCTCCTAAATCCCATCTGTTCATCTGCCAGCTGTGGTTCTATCACTGGTCTCAGTCTTGTTTCTATTATCTTGGCATACATTTTGCCAACATGGCTTAAAAGAGAGATGCCTCAGTATTGACCGCATTCTCGTTTGCTTCCTTTGTTCTTCCACAATGGTATAACTATGTTATGTTGTTGCCAATCAATAGGGGCAGTTTGTTATACCCATGCTGCATTAAATATTCTGTGAAGCCATCTGATGCTGCTTTCACCTGCTGTTTGGATTATTTCTGTTGGTAATCTATCAGCTCCTGGTGCTTTTTATTTGGAAGACTGCTTAATGACTTTTTCCTATTTCATCCATTAGTATGTGGGGTTCTAACACTGTTGCTCTGTGCTCTTCAGTTGTTCTTTCCTGATGATCTCCTAGAGGATTAAAGAGCTCATTGAAGTATTCCCTCCATCTTTCTGCTATTTTGGGTGGATCTATCAATGGCCTACCCAAAAGCATGTCGTAAGAGTCGACTAATTGACAGCTTCCTTCAAAGTCTGCATACAAATGAGTCAGATCTGTAAAATGGAGTCACACGCAACACTCAGGTTCTGGAACAGAACTGTAATCCAAAAGTGGATGAACAACCAGAACTTTCCACCAGAGTTTACAGCTGGTGAACGTGAAGAAGAAGAAGACAACAAGCACTACAGAATGAGGAAGCAAGAGAACCCAAGTAATAATGTGAAGAACACTGACGAGAGAAGGCCAAGGGGCTGGAACAGACATCCTATCACATACGATATTGATGAATTGTGCAGAATAGAAGGGAATGGAGGAATCATCTATGAGCCCTATATGATGTTTAACAGCACATCATGATAATAAATGAATGACTGGTTTATGGCTTTTTTATTAGAGCACATTTTCATTTATGCAGCATGTGGGGGAGGGGGGGGGGGGGGGCGAAGTTGGAAGTGGTTGGAGTCATGGCAACCCAGTGGATGTTGAGTTTTGGATGTTGAATTACCAATTAATATCATAGCACTTGCAACAATCCTATAAGTGCTCCATCCCCATCTTCACCAGCAAACAAAGAGTTCCAATTCTGAAGGTACTAGTAACTGCCTGATTGTATATCCATCTCGCCTTTCCCTCGAGTGTTGAGCATTAGACAGATCCCCTGATAACTCCCCTCTGCTCCATTCTCCTCAAGACAGTAATGATCTATTTGTGCCTCCCCATTGTTCACTCGCTTCTAAACGGCCCTCACAACATCTAGCTTGTCATACATCAGTTCACCACCAGGTGCTGCAGAACCACCTAGTCTTCTGCCTGCTCATTTCCCATCACACCAGCATGACCTGGGGAAAATATATATGTGTCAGACTAGTGGCTAACACACTTGCCTTCTGGCCCAGTGGTTGTAGGTTGTTTTGTGTGCAGACTTTTGGTTCCTTGCCTCTCAGGCAGATGCAATGCAACTTCAAAGGAGGCTATGTCATCTTTTTTTTTTAGCCTTTCTCTGCCTCCTGATATTTCCATTCTCATGTTGTATGCTCTTGCAACTGGGGCTGCTACATGGCCAAACCATTTCGGTCTTTGTTTTTCAATAAACCTAACTACAGGTTATCTTATGGTCCCTTCTTATTTTGTTGACTGCTTTTCTCAAAAATCTAATTTCACACATTAGTTTCTGCTCTAGTTCTTTTGGTAACAATGTTAGTGAAAAGATTGTGTTTTTCTTTTGCCTTTTAGTTTTCATTGGTATTGCTGGGTGTTTCAGTATTGGGAAAAGTTGATAGTTAACACTGTTGGCTTGTTGGATTCTGAACTTGATCTTTCTGTCCAGTCTGTCGAAGACAATGTCAAAGGCTTAATGTCGCCAAAAACCCATAAATACCCATAAGCCCCTGGCTTTCTCTGGGTGACAGTGTTAATTTGTATACAAATTAAACCACTGGAAGTTACTCTGTAGTTCAAGTTTTTATACAATAACATCAGTTATTGGTCTTTCCAATGTAAACTACAACAGAAACTAGAAGAAAGGCGTGAAAAGAAAAGAAGATCAGCAAAAGAAAGTCGAGAACGTGCAAAACAAAAGGAGTTGATGGAGAAAGAGGTAATTTTAAAATTTTATTGTTCTTTTTGATGAAAATGATTGTACCATTTAAACTAAAATGTAGTTTTGACATAAAATTCCCATGTGTGTTTTTAATTTTTATTATTTTGCAGATAGACCGAATTGCCAAATAATAAATCAGTCTATAGCATATGCTTCTGTTTTTCCTTTATAGTAGCTTTTTATCTCTGACTTATCGAAGCATTCTGTTTGTATAGCTTTTTTGAATCTTCTGTTACTAGAGATAGGAAAAACATTAGCATCAGTTTTATGAACTTATGACTTTCTTCAGACTGTTTACATCCTTTCTTCACTTCTTTGTTTACTGATTTGGATATTGCGGGAGTCCAAGAGAAACCCTAAGACAAACATTGCTGAGAGAGGCCAAAGATGCTGGACTATATTCCATCCATGATTTCAAGAGGATTGCAAGGATAGAACAGAATGGAGGTCTAGATTGCAAGCCCTATGTGATGTATAATGGCACAGCATGATGGTGAGGAGGATTATGTTGAGAAAGTTACAGGGTTCTGGTTCTGACTTTTCTTTTTGGTTTGACCATCATCATCATTATGTGCCTTGCCAACTGGTTTAGGCGCTCTTGCATCTCCACAGATCTTTGTCCCTTGTCCTGTAAATCAGTTGATAAATTCATATATCTTTGTATAATCATAACATCAGGCAGAAGATGTGTGTCAGAAGTTAAGAGCAGAATAGGCCAAGCTAAGGCTGCATTTCACAGAATGAAGAACATCTTGTGCAACAGGTCCCTCTCTTTGGATTTCCAAAAGGGAGTAGTAAAATATTATGTAGAACCTATATTGCCAAATGGTAGTGAATCATTGAATGTGAATGCACAAGTTAGGAAGAACTTGGAGGTGACAGAGATGCGGTTTCTCAGAAAAATATTTAGAATTTCTTGGACTGCTAGAGTATTTAATGAGGATTGATTGAAGGAAGCAAATGAAAGCTGATCATATATACAGCTATAAGGCTTGACCATAGACACTTAAAAATGTTGTAGAGTCTCTCTGATGTTATCTTTCCATCTTGTTCATGGATTACCTTGGGATCTGCATCTTCTCCTCTTTTTAGCGCAGTTCACCATGTCTAAAAAAGCAACAGCAATCTTTAATTGGCTAATACCAGCCTATGTGGTAAGCTTTCTATTTATTTCAATGAATAGCCTATCACACATGCAAATGTCATCACTCTCCAGAATGATAGACTTAGGAGTTAAGTTTGGCATAGTAAAAAGTGAGACTCTCACCAGGCACATCAGAGGATTGGTTAATCAACACAGAATTAGTACTATTAGCCACCAAACGCTGGGATGCATACTGGGGGAAGGAACTGAGCACCAATGGACATGTCTGGAGTGCAATGATGTTAAACCAACTAAACTAAACTACTAAACTAAACTAAACTAAACTAAACTAAACCATCTAAACTAACCAACTAACTAACTAACTAGCATGCAAATATCATTTGTCCTGGACATGAAATTTATAATCTAAGAACTGAGTTGAGTTTAGAACTGACAACATAGCACTCAGGACATTCCCATAAGCCATCTGTCCCCATCTTCAGCAGCCAGTGCAGAGTTCCAATGCTAATGATACCAGTAGCAGTCTGATTGTATGTCTGTCTTGCGTTTCCCCTGAGTGTTGAGTGCCGGCCACATCCCCTGGTCAGTCCCTGCTGCATCAGTTTCTGGATCTATTTGTGCCTCCACACTTCTAACTTGCTCCCAAACAGCATTGACTGCATCTAGCTGATCTTGCATCAGTTTATCAGCAAGTCAGGGAGAACCAGCCAGTCCGTGTGACAGTTTGTTTCTCAACACATCTACATATTCATCACCATCATTTAGCAGGTCCTTTGGAGAATGTTGCTCTCATCACGGTCTGCCTGAAAGAAACTTAGTCTCTCGCCAGCTGTCCTGCCTCATGTACTTTCATATTCAAGGAGTCACTTATATTCTGTACCCATCTTCATGTTAGTCAGCCCCTGCCCCTCCTTCTGCTATAATTTTTTCCAATTCATCATGGCGCTTGATGTCATTAAAATATTTCAGCTTCCGAGACAAAATGAGCTGAGTAAAATTGCTTTGCGTTAAGAATTGATATCACAGCACTCAGGGCATTCCCATGCGTGCTGCGTACTCATCCTAAGCAACCAGCACAGAGTTCCAGTACTAAAGGTACTTGTAATCTGGTTATATGTCCATCTTGCCTTTACACTGAGTGCAGTGAGCCAGCCAGACCCTCTGGTTACACCCAGGCGCCTCATTCTCTAGAAATCATAATAATCTTGTTTCTCTTCTGACTCCGTTGCTTGTTCCCAAAGGGCCCTGTCCAGATCTTCCTTCTCATTTAACAATTCACCACCCAATGGTGAAGATTCAGCCAATCTGTCTGTCTGTTTATTCCCTACCATGTCAGCATGGCTTGTAGAAAACATCCAAAGTACGCTCACTACCCGTGACCTTCCTAGTCCACCTCCAGTCTCATGCTAGATGTTGTGGTATCAAATGCTAGGCTGTCCTGCACTATAGATTTCCCGTTGACTTTCGCTTCAAACCCTAGGCACTTCTCTTCCCTCTCAACACCGAACCATCTGTATTATTAATCAGATAATCTGGGTGAGAATTGTCATGAATCAACTGTTGGACTTCCACCTCCATAGCACCCGCTGGCCACTCTCTGCACTCCCTGCCCAATGTAATCATAACCCTATACAGGTCAGACTTTTCCTTTGGTACTCTTATCCGCTCCTCTCCTTGTCTAGTGTTCTTCAGCATGCATACTTGCCTTATTGTGTCTTCTCCATGATTTCCCCTTTTCAGCCTCTGACCCTTTCCTGCAACCAAAGCTTCACACAGAAGGTGTTCTTTGTCTGCAGCTACTCTGAGGTATGACTTAGCCTACAGCACCTTAGCCTGTCTGCAATAGTCGAAAATGCAAGGATGTATCGCATGCATACAATCAGAGTGTCTCTTGTACAAAATGCTAACAAGATGCTGTTTATTAGCCAATCTTCCTTGATGTTCAGATCCTTTAAAATGTCAGTATTTCTTTTCTTCTTTGTCCACGGTATTCTGAGAATTTATATAGCATTTCATCTCAAAAGACCCTATTTTCTTTCTTAAGGATTAGGAGATAAAACATGACTCACATTCGTATGTTGCTACAGGGAAGATGCATGCTCTCAGAATTTTAATTTTGATTTCCTTGTTGGTGCTTAACCATAGAACACATCGGCATACCCTGGAGAAAATACGCTCTGAGAATAGCCAGTGACCATTCCCGCTAGACCTGGACAGAATATGCTGGTTTTCACTTTTTCCTACATCATTCCTCAAAGAGGGTTCCATCAACAGTAGACTGCTCATGAGTGGGTATTTTTTCCTAGGAATTTTGCAGGGACATCAGTCTTGTTACCAACCTGTGTGATTTCCAGCTGCCTTGGATTTCAACTTGGGAGAGTATGATCACCAGTGCCAGCTGGAAAGGCACTTGATGATTTTGGGATTTTTAACATTATTTAATCACACTATTATAGACATCAAGGAGACACGTGACATAATCAGACAGCAGCGATGTTTGCAAAAATTCCGCAAAATGCTGTGAGTGAAATTAAATTACAGTTGAGCTTAAATAATGTAAGTAATTATGCCTCCAGCTGTATTTTGGCATATAGAACTTTTCCTGTATTTCTGAAGACTTATAAGTAACTTGGTGATTGATGCAGTCAATATCCTGCCAAAGGTCATATTTTATAAAACAGAAAATGTATGCTCTGACTGACTTTCTTGAGATTTTTCTATAGATCTGTATAAATAAAACTGATTATTAATTTGAGAATCATCATCTTAGTGCACACCAGGTAGACCCATAGATGCTCCATCTCCTGCTGCAAATGCCCTGCTGTGTGAATCAATGAATAATAACTAAAATGTGGGAATGGTCTATCTGGAAGGTTCAGGTGATGAAGAAGGAAACTAACTGCAGCGCCTTATATGCCATGGGTAGAATATGTGATGGCCTGACACTTCAGATCTGAACAGCAGTAACTGATATTACCTCTGTATATATTGCCTATAGCAATAGGCAATAAAACAGATAAAATTCACATTGAAACGTAGTCCCAAGTCTGAAGTTCATCTTTTCACAAGGGCATTTTTTCCAATAGGCTAAACATGTTTATTTTTCCTCAACCACCGATGTGAGCACGCACACAAAAAAGAAGTAATGGTAATTGCACAGAAAAATGACCCTAAAAACTGCAACATCAAAAGTAAATTGGACAAACCTCAAGCAAGTTGATACATTTAAGTACTTGGGCACTCTGATCACAGATGGAAGATGTATTCAAGAAGTTTGATGTAGAATAGCTCAAGCAAAGGCAGCATTTTACAAAATGAAGAATATTTTATCAATCTTTCTTTGTCAGTTGAGACGAGAAAGATAATTCTTAAAAACTGTGTAAATTGTATATTGAAATACGGAAAGAATCATGTTCAGTTAGGAAAATAGTGAAAAATTATTTGGAAGCTGTTGAGGTGTGGTTTTATAGATAAATGATGAGAATAGCTTGGATATATATAATGAAGTCTTGAAAGAAACTGACTCACAAAGAGAACTGATTGCCACATCAGAAAGAGATTCTTCATTCTTCATTCAAAGTGATTAGAACGAGAAAACTGGAGTACATTGTGACAGTAGGAAAGTTTGAGGGGAAGAGAGGTAGAGGGAGACCAAGATAAAAGATGTGGACAGTTTGACATCATAGCGTGGAGGATCATCTGTACCAGAGTTGATTGAAAGTACACGAGACAGAAGGTTGTGGATAAACATGACTACCAATGCCACTCGGCATGGACTTTGAGAAAAAAAAAGGGTCTCAGTGTTCTCAAAGTGATGTCTGTGAAAATCTTTAATTCATCCAAACAAATGGAAGTCTTAAGG